GTAACTAGGTGTTTTTCTAATTTTCTTGATTTTAATTAAATTTTATGAGAATTAACCATATTTTTAAATCAGAAAACAAATTATTCTTTTATTGCAATTAATCCACTAAAACTTATACCCACTAAAATTAAGGGACAAGTACAAAAATACTATATTTTATGTGTATATTTGCAAGAATGCCACTTAGGAGTGTCCATTTCCAAAAATGCTTACAATTATGAATTTTTAAAGCCTAAATCTTAAAATTATAAACCCTAAAAAATATTTTGACCCCTAAAACCCCTAAAAACCTGAAAACTAAACTCTAATACAACATAGTTAACCCAAACATAAACGATATAATGATTTTTTTTTTTGAAAAATGGCATTTTTACAAATTTTTTGAAAATATGGCATTTTTCAAAAGTGGCACTTGAAAAGTGGCATTTTTAAAAATTTCTCTAAAATTAATCTCACAAAAATACTTGAATTTATCATATTTTCGTTTTTCATTCTAAAATTATATATAAATTTTCGTTTATCATTTAAAAATAAATTAGAAATTGATTATTGTAATAATAAAATTCTAGAACATTTTTAATAAAATATATATATTATTTTTGAAATTAATAATAAAGACTAAACAAAATAGAATTTTGCGGCAATTGCAAAAATACCACTTTTGGTGTGTACATTTGCAAGAATGTCATTTAGGAGTGTTCATTTGCAAAAATATAACTAACTATGGATTTTTAAACCCTAAATCTTAAAAATGTAAATCCTAAAAAAAATTTTGACCCCTAAAATCCATAAAATCATCAAAACTAAACCCTGATACAACATAGTTAACCCAAACATAAATGATATAATGAATTTTTTTTTTGAAAAAGTGGCATTTTTGCAAATATTTTCAAAATATGACATTTTTGAAAAGTGGTATTTTTTTAAAGTTCTCAAGAAATTTTGATATGTTTTATGACAAAAATAACTTCCCAAAATTATAACTACAAATATAATTATTCTTTAGATTTTTTGTTTTTCACACAAGCAATTTAAAAGTAACAAAAAGATTTTTTTAATTTGAAAGTAACAAAAAACATTTTTAATCCGTG